GGTTCTTTACAACTGGATCCAGTCTACCAGTGCCTATATCAAGTCTCTAGACTCGAAGCATATGGTTGCCATTGGCGATGGTATCTAGGCCCGTGATATCTCTCCCATCATCCATTGTCTAACTCATATTATAGAAGGCTTCGGACTGGACACTGGGTCTGATGGCAGCTATCCCTACAGCTACGGCGAGGGTTTGAACTTTACGATGAATCTAGGGATTGATACCATCGACTTTGCTACATTCCATCTCTACCCCACAAGCTGTATGTATATCCTTTTCCCATTACCCTTGGTCTAGGGCTAATGTATTCGCACAAGGGGGAACCACTAATGATTGGGGCAATGGATGGATCACATCCCACGGAGCCGCCTGTGCAGCAGCTGGCAAGCCATGTCTCTTTGAAGAGTACGGCGCTACTTCCGATCACTGTAGCATTGAGGCACCATGGCAGAAGACAGCATTGGACACCACTGGAATTGCAGCTGATCTCTACTGGCAGTATGGAGACACGCTGAGCTCGGGAAAATCGGCCGATGATGGAAACACCTTCTACTATGGCACTAGTGACTTTACCTGCCTGGTGACGGACCACGTCACAGCCATTGACTCCTAGATGGAGCACGGAAAGAGATACAAATCCATGTCATCAGCCGGCACCGATATACTGTTCTACTAAACAAGCACTATGAATTGTATGCTCTTTGTCAAGATTTTTGATTATGATATGCAACTCAGCAGAAATAACGATTTTGATGTGGGGTATTTATACATATGTACATGCAACTCGGTGCTTTTCTAGAATTAATTAGATTGGGCTAGCTTCAAGAGGGTATAAAGGGCTTGATGTCGCTATCGAAAGACAGTTTCAATGACTGGATTCCTTCTTGGTGACTTCAGAGTAGGCTGAAGGTTCAGGGGAGGTATCATCCTGCTCCACAGCGTCGGTAGGGGGCCCGCGGTAGTTGTTATAGCCCCAGACACCATACCAGAGGGCAGCGATAGCAATGAAGCCAGCGAACACCACAGAGGCATAGTTCATGCTCTCCTTGGTGACAGTTGTAAGCGTTGGCATGCAGAAAAGAGGAATTGCAAGAAGACTCCAGCCTATGATAGTTGAAGCGGTTAGTTGAAATCCATATAATGTAACAGATGGTTTTGTTAAAGCAACTCACCAAGAGCAATAACGTTAGCGATCAGGCCAAAGACTCCAAAGTTGAAGCTACCGTTCTTAATATCCTCTCGACCACGGAAGATCAGGGAGACGGCGATCGGGCAGGCATAGCTCATGGTCAAGAAAATGACACCAACACCCGAAAAGGCATTGTACGCAGCAGTGGAGCCAAAGTAGATCACACCGAGAAGGATTTCCACGACCATTCCCAATAATAAAGAATTGAAAGGAATGTCAAGGGTCTTGTTGACAGTGCTCCACCATTTTGATCCGGGAATGCCGCCGTCGCGGGCAAAGGCCCAAGTACAGCGAGAGGTGGCGGTAACACAACCGACACCGCAAATGATGCCCAGCACAAGCAGAGGAATTAACAAACAGAATGTACCAGCCGAGTTGCCAATGGCGGCCTTGAAGATGGCGGGGGTGGGCTGGCCCGAAGCCAGATTGACCAGGTATGTGAGATCGGGAAGCACGAAGCAGACGGGGATCAAGAAGAGGAGACCGGCGATAAAGTTGATAATGATGGTTCCGACCATGGCCTTGGGGACCATGATGGCGGGCTCATGGACCTCCTCGCAGAGACTAACAGAGACCATATATTAGCATGTGGAACAGCCGACTTGGAGAATTCAAAGTGCCAAGACTCACGAGATAATCATGCCGGTCGCCGATGTGGCGTAGGCAGCCTGCAAGAGACCAATGAAGAACGACCATCCCGCGGGCCACCCAGCTTGACTTTCAAAGTGACCAAAAACCCATGCGGCATTGCGACGCCCTTGCTTGGCGACAGCCAACAGGCAGACGACAATGGCGAGTAGACCGGCCATAGTCCAGAAAATAGCGAATGTCTAGAAATGATGATCATCAGTATGATTACCCCACGGGGCAAAGGGGCACGTGCGACACATACCTCCAACCACGGCAACCATTTGTTGCCAAACGCCGAGATGGAGTGCGTCAGGAAGGTAATGGCCAAGAAGATCAGGAAGATATGCCAGGCCTGGAAATCATCGGTGATTCCGACGCCCGGTGATTTTTCAAAAACATCCAGACAGGCCACGAGGAGCAGGGCAGTTCCAAAATTGACAGCAAGGGTAATGGTGATGTTTCCTGCGACGTAGGACCAGCCACAGATCCACGACGCAATGCGACGACACCACAAGGGCGATAAGACAAAGGTTTGATAGTATACACCACCTGCAGTCGGGTAGACCGAAGTGATTTCCGCCAATGAGATAGCCACGCAGAGAATCAAGAAAGAGATGATCACCCAACCCCAGATGACATTGGCCGGCCCACCTGCGACGAGTGGGTAGTATAGAGTGGTCGACAAGCCATAGGGCACTGAAGAGAGAATGAAGCACATAAAGGTAACTTGCCAAATCGATCGATTGCGAGCCATCTCAGGCTTGTATCCCATGTCCTCCAGGGTGCGATCCGCATTGGTGGTGCTCACACCCTGTTCGACGGTCACCCCGGAGGGATGACTGAATCCATCGGCAGCCATAGAGAGAATGAAGTTATTGCGATAGGTTTCGGATCTGCATACGGTGCAGATTGGTTACATATAATCGGGACAGTATTCGAGAATGGGAACAAGAGAGAAATAAGAAATATAAAAACAAAAAGGCAGCAAATAAAGAAAAAACGAAAAAAAAGAAAAGCGCCACTCCAACGGCAAAACATGGAAAAAAAACCCAAAAGAAATAATATGACCGGCATATTTAATGCAAGGCGAATGAAATCCACTCCGATCCACATCGACCCACCAGACCCCACCCAATCCCCACCCGCATCCACAGGACACGAGCGCGATTAACTTTGAGCCAGTCAATGCGCGTGGAGGGACAGGGAGATTGTTGGCACGGCCAATCAGACTGCTTCTATAATCCAAAACACGACTAGTGCGGTCCTTGTTTCGAAGCTTTCAAGAAGGAACACCGGGGTTGTGGTCTCCGAGCTGACAAAGACCAGACGGAGCCCTAACTAAGAGTACATATATAGGGCTGGGGTTAACGGGTTGGATATTCTGTCAACATCCCCTGACCTACCAAGGTACTACTCCGTAGTTGTCTCACCTCTAACTCTATACAAATACGGAGTCCTTAGTGTGGAACCACCCGTTGACATGATGTCGGAGGCGCTGGAGGTGCCAACTTCTGCCAGAGCCGAAATGGTCAGGCAAATGAGAACCTCATGATTTTAAATATTGGATGTTTCGTATCTACAATATAGGCATTAGAGGACCAGATTCAGATAGCAACCAGAATTGACGTCCGTAATACCTTCTCCGTATACAGTTAAAAGATCCCCCTGATTCTACCTGCTTCCCGATATCAGCCGTGTTCCCACAGGCCATCCCGCAAGTATAGAGATAGCCTCAATTAAAAGGGGGCACAGGCTTTCGGCGCAAATCTTTCATTGGTCACGGCTATCTTGGCTGCAAATTTTTACTCAATTCTTACGGTGTACTCCGCAGGGGCAAGAAGTATGGCAATTTTCAAAATTCACAAATCAGATGGTAACTTGGAATGCTGAGAGTTCACCTTCTGAAAAGTCTAGGCAGAAATCAAAGTGCGCGCTTTCTAATTCCCTTCCAATGAAAAACACCACATATATGGGGCCGAGAGAATGTTTAACATCATACGGGGTACGCATAGTTATCCATGGTCGCAACAAACGGGTGGCACTACTCCGTAGCGACATTGTGGATGCCTAAGGTGTCGGACCTCGGAGCTTTTGAATGCTGATATTATTTCCGCATCTTCGTGGGCCTTCATAACGTGCATGACATTATTCATTCCACACCTTCTGGCACTGTGCGAGGAATTCCATTGAAGTCAACCCTCTGGCGCCCGTTCAGGTCCATGGCTTGCTGCCAAGCGTGCCATGCACCCCAAAAGTACTATTTCCAGTATCTCGTCTATGTCAACCATCACAATCATACAGGCGACGTATGCAACTTGTGAGCCATCATTATTACGGCTTCCCAGGGTGGACCCGTTGGTCGTGTAGTGTACAGAGATACCTCGCCAGATACAGACCGTACAAAGCCATATCAGATTCTACCCTGCGGTCGCTAATTTATAAAGTGCCCAGGTTAAGAGCACAACTCAACTCTTCAACAATTCGACTCATTTCTGCATGCGCTAGGAATCTCGCCCTAGGTGATATGGACCTTTTGCTTCAGTGAAACAGATGGATGACGACGTCAAACTACTGGGACGGTCGGATATGTGCGCTTCATGTCGGTCTCGGGGCAGGTGGAGACGAGTGTGTCCATGCTTATAGCTTTGGATGGGCAATCAAATACAGAGAATAGGTCTTTTACACAGACTGGGTTGTAAATTTCGAACAATAGTAGATCCGGACTCTAAATGTCGAAGGTTTCGTCTCGGTCCGCGGTGGGGGATGTGGGGATCTTGACATGAGGGAGAAAATTGTGGGGGAAGCCGGGGGCTTGAAGTATATACGGAGTACATAGACTCTCTTTGCACGACATTGAAAATCCATCATTGTATTGCAAGGATAAAAGCTCGCCTGGGAAGTCCAAGATACAGAGCAATCCCATCTCGTAAAGTAAAATACTTACCCCCTATAAGCTCTGGATGTGATTCTCCACGTAGGTCCTGATAGCGTTAACTTAATCTATATTTTGTAAATCCATGATTGTACAGCGGTATAGCTATACAAATTCATGCTATATCAAAATGACGTCGGTTTCCTAATTGAGCGCCGACGTTGAAAAAGTCCTATCCCAAAGTCGTTCCTCCTAATGTACTCTATCCAGCCTCCAACATCGCTTTATCAACATTTCCCTATCTCACCATGACAATGAATAATATATTTTCCTCTATTGCCACTTCCACCAACCATCTCAAAGCCAAATATCACGGTCAGATCTAAGCTAACAGATTCAAACTGCTGATACAAGAGCTCCAAGAAGCAGAACAGGCCAAGATCCAACTCGACTGGATATCTGAACATCGCCAGGAGACAAGACGGGCTAACAATATCATCCAACGGGAAATGTATGTTGGTGCAACATATCGCAACTATGAAACCCAAGTGCAGGTTGAAACCCAAGTGCAGGTTGAAACCCCGCCAGAACCTTCCACCTTGAAAAAGCTTCAGGGGTGCAATGTCGAACTCATGCTACTGAATATTGAATACTTCCAACACCTAGAGCGAATGGCAGAACTCATTGAGCGCAAGCCATCGGGATGCCTCGTCCATCGATATGCAAAAAATCTGCGGCACAAACCCAAACAGCTCTGGAATATCGAACAGATCTACTGCCAACTTCGTGGCGGCTGCTGCGCTCGTGAGTGTGGTTGCTGTAGACGATCTTGGCACACCATTCGAGAGCCTTCTGGTAAAGTTCGATATATGCACTGTACGGGAAGTTGTGGATGTTGTACCCGCCACCGTGGTTACTCTTCTTCAAGTGCGGGCAGGAAGAAGTCCGGCATGGAAGCTTAACGGTCGACAAGCCCCAAGGACTTCGATTTGTGAACAGGGGATCGCTCTCGCATAATTCTCGCACAATTCTCGCATAATTCTTGCATAATTTCTTCGATATCTTCCTACATCCAGGAAGTTTCAGCGTCGGAAAATGAATGTCATGCAATAACAAAACCTTGAAAGGTGCCCTGGCCTTTGATTAGTCAATCTTAACTTTATCTCCTATTTAACCTTGCCCGTCCTTTTCTGATACGAGGTTATTTAATTACTCTTTATCTGGTCTCTTGCCCAGTCTCTTGGCCCAGCTTTTCTCTTTCCTTGTCGGTTATTCGCGGCCAATAGTATCGTGGACTGGTCACCGGACCGGTGGTGTTGTTACTCAGGGCGCCATTTTTTGCCCGTGTTCTATCAGGGAGTTCGAGAGATCATTTTTCCATTCTGCCGTTCACGGATCCCAGCTTTTGCTGTCCTCTAATAATCTCAACCATCGAGGTCTTTCCGGTTGATTATGCAAGTATGGGCACTAACCGTGGAAAAGAAAACTCGGGATGTAAGCTGCAATAATGAATATGTTGTACGCATTTCGTATGATTTTGCAGTCATATCTCCGGCTGGAAGTCTAGTGGCTTACCCCAGGATTGTACCTTTGTTCAGGCCTAACGGCCATTAGGCGGCCACGGACCCCTCTACTGACCAGTCATTGTCCAGAGATATAGCGATTTAATATGGCGCGGCTGGGGGTCTCTGTACGACGGGATGGAAATGCGCTGTGGAAAAAACTCTTAAATATGGCATAGATTCCTGTCGAGCATTTCAATTTTATCCAGCATTTTCCGCTTTCATTGTCGCACAAGATGGCACCAATAGAGGGTGATCAACATCCGATCAGCGAGAAGGGCAAAGCACTTCGAACTTTAGTCGAAGCCGACCTGCTCGATGATCGTTATGTAACTACAACCAAACGTGGGTTGAAGAATCGCCATGTTCAGTTAATGGCCCTCGGAGGCACGATCGGAACAGGTAAGTCTGCAGTGCGACATGAAAAAAAAAAAGGATTACTCACATAAGTCAGGGCTTTTCGTGGGTTCCGGCCAAGCCCTGGCCATTGGAGGCCCCGCATCGCTTCTGTTGGGTTATCTCTTCATCTCAGCCATGGTTTATGGCTTGGTCACGGCTATTGCTGAGGTAGGTGCCTATCTTCCGGTACATGGTGGAACAATGAGTTATCATGGATTCCGCTATGTGTCGCGGAGTATGGGTTTCGCTATGGGATATCTATACTGGTACTCTCTCGGAATCTTGGTGCCGTACGAGATCACAGCTGCCGGACTGGTTATTGGATACTGGGACCAGAATGGATCGATCAATATCGCGGTGTGGATCACAGTCATGATGGTCGTTATTGTCGCGCTCAACTTTATGCCTGTGCGAGTATACGGCGAGTCGGAGTTCTGGTTCGCCGGGGTGAAAATCATCACTCTGATCGGTTTGTTGATGGTATCTTTCATCCTCTTCTGGGGTGGTGGACCCAGTCGTCAGCGACTAGGCTTTCATTATTGGAATAATCCGCGTCCATTCAACGCCTATCTCGCAACGGGAGATTCGGGCCGGTTCGTGGCCTTGTTGAAATGCACAGTATCCAGCGCCATTGCGTTCATTTTCGCCCCAGAGCTGATTGTGATCAGTGGGGGTGAGATGGAGTCCCCTCGACGCAATATACCCCGGGCAGCCAGGAGATACATTTACCGATTGATCTTCTTTTACATCTTTGGTGTACTAGCCATTGGTGTTATATGCCCATCCGATGCTAGTCGTTTGACCAAGAGCGACGGCACGGTAAGCTCATCACCATTCGTGATCGGCATCCAGAACGCCGGCATCCCCGTTTTAGACCACATCGTGAACGCTGCCGTCTTGACATCCGCCTGGTCCGCAGGAAATTCCTTCCTGTATATGTCTTCGCGGTCACTCTATTCCTTGGCTATGTCAGGCAACGCGCCACATGTGTTCAAGACATGTAACCGATGGGGTGTCCCGTACTGGGCTGTTTCGGTTTCGGCATGCTTCTCGGCATTGGCTTATCTTGCCGTTAGCAACTCCAGTTCGATTGTGTTCAACTGGTTCGTCAACTTCACCAACACTTCTGGTTTCATCTCATGGATCTGCTGTTCCGTGGTGTTTCTCCGTTTCCGCAAAGCTGTCAAAGCACAGGGCATTGAACAACCGTACAAATCAAAGATGCAGCCGTATGGGGTTTATTTTGGCCTGGCGGGTGCCACTCTGATGGCGCTCATAAATGGGTTCACAGTGTTCTTCTCATCGGAATGGTCTGTGAGCAACTTTTTCACCGCATACATTGGTATTCCTGCTTTCCTGATTCTTTACTTTGGACACCGGGCACTGTATTGGAGTGATCCATGGGCATGGCGCCCAGAAGAAGTTGACATGCACACGGGCTTGGATGAAATTATTGCTGCTGAGCAGCCACCAAAGCCACGGCCTTGGTGGAAGTTTTGGTAACACATAATAGGAGCTCTAGGGGGGAGAGTATGTTTGCCAGGTTTGCCAGGTTTGCCAGGTTTGCCATGTTTGTACTGTTTGTCAATATCATGACGTATCAAATATCCAAGCGGGTGTGCTGTAACCACTCACCCGCCTTATCACCATACGAATATCCCATAACATCCAATAGCAATTCATAACTCAACATCTTTTTGCTCCGTAATTCGGAGTTGGCCCTTATCAACATATTTCTTTACGGAAAATAGCCAGTGATACCTTCTTTATTACTCCCATCGTCCCACCTATTCTCTCTCGTGTTCGGTATACGCCGTCGACCGTCTCTCTCCCACAAGTTGCCTTTAGTATCAGCCCAGAACTATAAAGACTGCCGTGTAGAACTTCATATGAACAATCGATTTCGAGCTGCGAACCTGAAATCTTAAAGAATCAGAACTATGGCTGTGTTACCACTTACTGTCCGTCCGCTTCAGCCTCCTCCGGGCTCAAGCATTGATTTTGGTGCTGAGATTGAAGGTGTTGATTTGGAAAACTTGACTGGTTCGTGGATTACTGCCAATTACAAGAGCACAAGCTAATGGTCATATAGAAGAGCAGTTTGCCACTATTCGGAAAGCCCTCTACGAGCACCAGGTTGTGGTGTTCAAAAACCAGAAAGGGCTATCACCTAAAGCCCAGTATGAGCTGACCAAGCGATTCGACCCGGTTTCCGAAAACTATGGACATGGCAAGACCATTGATGCGAAGCGAAGCATTCTCCATCCTGACCTCAAAACTGTCCCTCACCAGCCACAAGTGCAGGTGATCGGAAATGGACATGTTGATTCGTACGAGGGTCTCAAAGATATCACATTACGACACCCTCACCACCGGACATTCCACAAAGATCACATCCCGGACGATAAGGACTATGACTTTACCCGGTTTTATCGCTGGCATATCGATGCCGCCCTTTACGACCTATACCCGCCCCAGGTGACAACGCTTATGGCCGTGAGTGTGCCCAAAGGCCGCCGACAGACATTATTGTATGATGATGGAACCGGGGAAACAATGGATGTACCACTTGGGACAACAGCGTTTGTTAGCGGAGAGCGGATGTTTGAACTTCTTTCGCCCGAGGATAAGGAGTTTGTGAAGACAAGCAAAATTGAATATGCCCCCCATCCGTAAGATCCCCTATGGTATTCCCATGGCTCTGATCAACTGAGCTAATCATCACAACAGGTACATTTGGATGAGCCAAGCGCATTCCCGGTCTACGGGGCTCGGTCTACACTCAGAAGGCCTCGAGTTGCCTGACTCGGAACTTCCACCTATCGACCCTAGTAAGATCATGGTTTTCCCGATGACCTGGAAAAACCCAGTGACGGGCAAATTGGCTCTCCAGATCCATCCCTCTGCTGTGCGCCGTATCCACTGCGCCGATGGAACCACGATCGATGACTTGGCCCGTGTACGGGACATTGTCTATAAGTTGCAGCGGCCGGCCATCAGCCCTCAGTATGTATATCCCCATGACTGGGAAGATAACGACTTGGTTTTATTCAACAACCGTGGCGTGCTGCATTCCGTGGTTGGTGCATTCAAACCTGACGAAGTGCGACTGTTCCGTCAATGTAACTTGGCGGCTTCGGAGCCACCAGTTGGGGCATGAGTGCTTTCATTTCGATTTCGATTTGACATGTTTGCTATTGTTTGTTAATATTGGGTTTTCGAGGGAATCAACTGAACTTAATCTGGCTTGAATTTTTTGAACTGATAACTTAACCGCGGGAATCACATCTTGAGTAATGAAATATTATATATCGGATGTTGTACAAACAAGACGCCATTTATGTATCTGCAAAAAGTTATGGGCGTATTGACAAGGATTAGCGGACAATGTAAAACCCATGTACGGCAATTTGGCTCTCTCTGAGCTCATCGGTGACAGAGCGAACCCCGACCCGGTGCAATGGAACTTGCTCTACCAACTTCTGTCCACGGTTGACGATACTAGTACACCCCCCGACCGTGCGATCAATCCAATTCGAGTTTTGTTGAAGGTCCGGATGTTCCGCTGCCCACGCGGGATGAGCCAGAGTATCATGTACAACAGATGCGTCGTACACATCAGCGAGCAGGGCCGCCTCGGCAGCTGCCACTTGCGCCTCGGCGAGTTCTTTGCTCGTAGTTCCAGTGGGTGGTGGGATTTCAGCGCGAAGGTATCCCAAAACACGAATCTCGATTTTGCTTGTTTGGAGAGGAACGTCCTGAAGGAGGCGAATGGCGACCACACGTTTCGATATTTGTGCCATATTTACTCTCGTCGCCTGGAGGGGATCCAATGCCCGTATGGACAAGATAGCTGGGTACCATCCAGTAGTCGAGCAACCTTTGCTCGACTCAAGGTCGAATCGAGCCCAGCCGAAGAAGTAACCCCTTAACTGCTCCGTCACCCAGTCGGGCATTCTGATTAAGCTCAACTTCGGCATATTGTCATGGTTATTGGGGTACGAGATTTGATCGGGTTGACAGCGAGCTTTGAATGTCAAAGGAAACGGTGGCTGGGGGCCGGCATCGATAGAAACCGGGCTGCTTCCAGCTATTTCTGGCGCTGCTAGATTTACTTGAGATCGTCCAATAGGACCCTTGGAGCCATTGACGATACCACCCACGCGGTTCTCAATACCACTCATCGTGTAAGCCTTTTGGGCCGCTGTCATTGTCACCCACGATGGACGAAGCGCAGCAGCTTGGGCTTGAAGCGGAGCAGTTTGGGCTTGAATGGCTGAGACGGCCGGACCTGCCACGGTTCGCGCTGCAGTTTGGGCGTAAAGGCTCACAACCATAGCCCCAACCTCCAAGGGTAGCGTGCTCAAGCTCGCGCCACGGATAGAGCTAGGGGCAGTGGATGCAGAGAGCACCCGGAACACGGGGCTATTGCCAAGCACCTTCTTCTTGACTCCTTGGCAGAGAACTAGCTGGAAATATCCATCGCCTGCTTCGGCTGGAATCCGTACAACGGCCGTCTCGCGTAGCTTATGTGTATCGCGCGGACGTGGCGGGGCCTTCTTTCGAAATTTCTTGATGTCGCGTTGCCAAGCTCGTTCATCATCCGGAGTCACCTGGTCGGCCCTCAGCGGCATACCCGGAGTCACATCCAGCCAGCTATCTCGGAGATTGAGGAATGACTTGAATTGCATTCCGGTCTTCCCGGTCCAACCTTTACTCTGCAACCACAGGGTGTGTTCGGGAGGTAAAGGGGCATCAGAGAAAATTGATATAGCGACCGATGTAGTGGGTCCACGGTAGAAGACCAGTCCATGGGAATGTCGCAAAATGGTGACATGCTTGTTTGATTCCGTTGGACGATTGATCAGACCAGTGAGGAAATACCGAGCTTCGCTGTATGCTTTCTGCACAGGCGTCGGAGGAGCCGGAGATGAGGTTGGCCCTGCTGTCCTTGGTCGTGGCAGTGATCCTGGAGTTACAGGCCTGGAAGCTGGCGTCCCATAAAGGTCTGTATATGATGGGGGCTGTGATGATGGGGGTACAAGGGACGGGGTACTAGCAGCATAAGCTGTCGCCTCCCGCTGATCGGCATGGGCTGTAGCTCGCAAGTTCGGGTTTGACAGGGGCTTCCGCTTGATGCGAAATGAATCTGGCGGATGACTTGGGCTTAAATGACTAGAAGACATTTTCTACATGATGTTCAAGGAATTCAAGAAATGCCGGGCCCTCCGATTTATTGGAATCATCACTCTTGGCCACTTGCCCCCATTGGCCCGAGCTGGATATTGGCCTGAGGCATACATTAATGCCTGAGGTTGTATACAGTCCTCGAGAATATGCGAAATATACTGTAATCTTTTTGCTTTTGACCTCAGCTCGTACCATAAAACTAGGATGCGTTGAAGGCTAATGGCATGCACCTGCAAATTCCATTGACCTCCTGCGTTGGATTGATCTAGGCGTGTAGATACCTCGAACTAGATCACGACTCGCGGTATGGCATGCATGGATTTATATTACTTCAACTGCATGTTTTCGGACATTTAGAAAGAATATTCAAGAGAGACAGACTTGAAATCAACTTGACCTCTTCAATTTCAACACTGTACTACCTTTCAGTATCTCCTACTCCCATTCATCTCTGTCATTGATCCGTTCATCTGCCATCCAGCAACTTTGTAGAGTGCTCAATCTCATTGTACGAGAAACAAATATTCATGACTTTCACCATTTCCACAGCTATCATTGTCAGTTTGGTTCCATTCCAAGGCTCTAAAAACCAACACACCTGATAATCTATCGCCGGCTGTATCATCCTCATCCCGTCCATTTATCCGAGTGTAGTGGAGGACAAAGTTGACCCGTGGCCGACGGCCCGCTTGGTACATTTCAAGTCGCGTGGGGACATCGTCCGGCGTGCTGCCACAAGGGAGCAAGGTGGCAATGCTAACTGCATCTTCGATTGCCATAGCTGCTCCCTGGCCCAAGTCTATCGAGTTGTCAGTGTATGTCACACAAAACAAGTTTGTCCATTTGCAGCTATTCGGTTGCTTACATGGCTGGAACGGATGTGCTGCATCTCCCAGAAGAGCAGCGTGGCCTCGAGTCCAAGTCGGCAGTTCCTCCATATCATACAGATCCCATACTTTGAGATTTTTGTCTGCACTTGCAATAATTTGTTGAACACCGGGTGAAAACTTCGAAAAGGCCCTCACAATTGTAGTCTGGTCTCCAGCTGACTGCCAGGCTATTAATCCCAATTTGTCAGTAACCTTCTGTATCAACCCCCGGAAACCTCTTACTGTCACTTTGGTTGTCTGCCTGAACTTCATTCAAAGGGACAAAAGCACAAAGATTGAGGATCTTGCTATCAGAGCAAGGGTAAGCCACGAGCCGCCGGTCATGGGATGCCCACTCAATAAACACGCCGGTGTCTCGCACAAAATCAACAGTGCTCGCATGTTGCTTTAATTGATCTGTAGGAAGAAGCCAACGGAAGCATGACTTGCCAACGGGGTATGGGGAGGGAGATCCTGGTGTGATACTCCGACGAATTTGGGACTATAGAACAGTTAGAACAGGGACGAGAGCTGGATAAACACCGGTGTTGATAATCTAGTGTTCATACATGTAGTCCATCTGCACCAAGGAGCAGGTCAGCCTTGAAAGTGCGACCATCACCGAGAGTGACCGACGGACAAGCCCCTTCCAGATTGACCTCGGTTATTCTACACCCTGTATGCAACGTTGCGGTTTCAAGGGCACGTTGTTTGAGGTGGTTGTGTAGCTCAACTCGATGCACGAGGTACCACTCCTGTGTTAAGATTAGATATCGTCCTGGCTGGGTCCGCTTCATTCGCCTACCGCTTGCCAATGATGACGAGTGTCAGCGAACTCTCTCTTGTATGTCAACTCCCCGTCAAATCTATATCGGTGTATCTGGAGAAAGCAAACAATATTAATTCCAGCCACTCTTCTTGTCAAGAGACAAATCTGACCTGATGAAGCAATGTGCCTCCGAAATCTGCTGGATCAATGCCCATCCAGCGTAGCAAAGCAGTGCAATTCGGCGGTAAATGGATCGCAGCCCCAGTCTCTTTCAAAAAAGCGGACTTTTCCAGAATCTAAGCTGGGTGAGAAATTAATTTTGCAGCAAGCTTGGGTTGTTGCCCGGGGCATACCACAACACGATGCCCCTGTTTTCCGAGCGCAATGGCTGTTGAGAGACCAGCAATGCCGGCGCCGACGACGAGGACGTCGAGAGGCTGGGCTGATACCGTCATGGTGAGGAGTCTATGAGGTTTTTGAGCTATATCGACTGATTTCCCGTCATGAATCTCTGACGTGAGGTTTATAGCGGTATGCTCTCTCATCCGGTTTCCGAATTTGGAAATCCCCGATACTTATCTCCGAGTCGGCGAAGGGAAGTGGATGCTTCAATGCTGCTAGATGGTCCTTGCAACCTCGGATAGCACAGCGGTATTTTTGAGCTGAAACGGAAGGAAGGTATCGGGCGCACAGAAATTGTTGAATATTGTTGGGTCGAAGTGATCGACACTGCATCGTTGGACACATTTTCCGCGTTCACCTCTTTCCCCATCAACATATCCACTCCAGTTTGAATTAATATGGCGTTGACACATGAAAACGGTCCTTTGAATTGGAGTCTTATAATACCGTGTAATATCCATATTTCCGATATAACTGTTGTGCCGCTGTCATTTCAGGTAGTGTGCGCGGTAGCTAAGACTTTTCACTTTGTTAGCCAATGAGAATACAACTGTTGTACATTTCGCGTCGGATCTATCCGGGCAATTGGCGCGTCACCAAATCAATTGCCCTATGGGCTATATCCCATCTGAGTAATCGCAAGAAGGGAGTCCGGGTTTATGACTGTGTGTTCCGAGGAGATTGCTAGTCGTGAACAATATAATATTGTTTAGGCTAATTGTTTATGGGGACGAGGCAGACAGGGCAGGAGGGAAGGTGAAACGCGTGGATATGCCAGGAGTTCATCATATGTCTACGAGAGCAAGCCCTGTAGGTACGTACGTGAGAAAATATATATGATTGTAGATTAAATTTCACATCCTCATTCAGAGCTTTCTTGGCTGCCCGTTGCCCACTTGGTTGGTGATGTTGTAGTCACCATAGCAAGCTTCCTGGTACATGGCCTCCTTGTTGAGGTCGGGAATAGCTTTGAGGAAGTTTTTGACCTTGCAAAATCCATTCACAGAGCCATCACAGACCTTGAGACCATCAAGCGGCAGAGGTGCATTATTTAGCACAAGTCGGATGTACTCGGTGGTATCAGACTTGGAGGACAGGTCAGAGTTCTTGTATTTTTGCACCTGAAGATCCTTGAAAGCGACATCATTTGGGCAGGTCCAAACTTCAGAGAACAAACGAGCGCCAAAGGGTGTCATTTGGTTTAGGTTAAAGCTGCGGTGCGGGGCGTGCGCAACCGAGACAGGCAGGCCATGAGGACCGTACTTGAAATAATCCAGACCCAAAGCAGTCAGGACGGACACGATGATATCGTCGTGGGACATGTCCATGTATAGTGGCTGATCGAGCGGGAAAGTCTTGATGTTGTCATCGTACGTGTAGTTGATGCTGCTGTCACTGCTCGTGATGAGCCTAGACTGCAGACGCGCTGCCAGCTCCTGAACATAGCCAATGCCCTGGGCGCGGCCACTAGGGGACCCAAAACCGTAGTCGCCGTAGAATTGAAGATCGATGTAGTATTCAAAGTCGCGCCACTCCTGCTCAGTGAAGAGCGCGCAGAAAGAGGACTGGCCCAGTGCCGCATACTCGTACGGGCACATATTAAGCATCGCCAGAATGTCGAAGGTGTCGAGCTTCAGATCCCGGGGAAGGTGTGCAGCAAGACGCTCTCGGGCATGTTTGACAAGAGACGAAGCGAATACCTGCGCAGCGTTGTCACCCGGCTCCATGCCATTCGGGCAGGAATCGGTCGACGATAGGGTGTTGTTGAAGTCTTCGAGCTCGGGGATAATAGTCAGATTGTACTCCGAGTATGAGCTGTTGGCTCCTGTGTTTCCAAAGAAGCCGCCCAGCCACCAGCGAGCACTCTCTAAAATTCGGGGGTACGAGGTCGTGCGGAAAGTCGGCTTTGGGCGCGCGGTACCATTGGGATACACATTCAGTGATGCATTCCAGGCTGCATTGGCATTTTCTGCGCGATAGAGCAATCGGCCATACTGACTCCAGAATTGAGCGCCGGAAGTGGCTTCGGTGGCGGCGCCAGTGGGTAGCAGAGTGTTCAAACCAAGCATATACTCCCAATCGTTCAAGAAAGACAGAGGTCCGGAACCGATTTTCTTGTTTGGATTTTTCTTAGTGTAGTTGGCCAGTTTCTGGGCAAAGTTCTCCATGCCTTCTCCATCGAGGGGCCATTGTGTAGGATACCGCTGGGCATGGCGGTGTAGCACATGCACCTGCGACAGTTCACACTCCGATGGAAACCCCTTAGAGACATTGAAACTGGATGCATCGGCATAGGGGCTGAGGTTGGCCCAGCTTGTTTTCATATCAAACCCGGACGGGTATGAGAGACCGGTGGGACTGGCTGCGGCCGTGGAGCTCGATGCCATTGCAGCAGTGCTACCCGCAAGAGCTAGCAGGGCCATGGCAGACAATTGTAGAGCCGCCATATTGATGCTATTGTCGTCTCTGGGCACGCGACAAACTTCCAAAAAAAATTCCTGCGAGGAATGGCCGACTTACCCATGTTTATCTGCCCCTGTGGAGAGGGGAAAAGGGGATCGACCAAATCTCTTTCCTTGCGTGGAATCGCGTAAGTCCGTTCTGTCCGGCACGATGTGACCCTGGAATCCTCATAATGTTGTATTTTGCTCAGGGACAAGATAAACATCCTTGAGTTGCGGTGATCCCCGAAATTTCAATAGCCAAGCCCGCGTGGGGAAATGCTTGGCCCGACGAAGTCCGTCAAAAGCCGTCAAGGGCAAAAAACAAAGGAGAAATACGAGACTTTCAAGGGCTGGGGGAAGAGCCAACGGGCTGTGGCCATTAAATGGGCTTTCCTTGCATTCGTATAAACCCGGTGATGCATCAAAGGCAATCAAAGAGAAGGTAAAAGAAGGGGGGAACACATCACATCTCGGCACATGACCTCTCTCAGCCCTTTGCCAACACCTCCGCTTTGATGCCATAAGAATTCAACTCTTGGGTCATGGGCTATACGATATCCCCGAAACCCCCATTCGCTTACCTTGTACCAATTAGGATCAGTGCAGATGCCATGTCGATGCGGCTGCTCGTATCGGACACGAGACCACACTTCTTAGAGCCTGCGGCTCCATATCAACTGGATCGGAAGCTCCAAATAAGGCGCATGCTACATTGTTTCTGATTACGAGCTCCATCATGAACATGTGGGAGAAACCATAAAGCGCAAGGGATCCGGCCCTTTCGAGCAGTTCCTTTCTTTATTTTGATACTCCTAATGCAGAGACCTCCAAATTAGCTATATCCTAGCTATATTGACTTCACTATGTCTATGTTGGCCCTCAGTATTGTCTTGTATGCCCTATTGGGTACCTCCTTGGCCTTTGCTATCGTCGAGCTAGGCCTATCGGCTTTCATTGCTGCCGCATATTCTGGAACGCAAGAAATCGAGACCTGGAGCGCGTATTCGGGCTATTCGTACAGTCAAGTCAATGTGAATCCTCCGGCTCTCCTCGTGTTCCTTATATTTTCTTCTGTTTGGACCATCCTTATCACAATCGCCGCTTTAGTACTTCCTTGGTACTATACTCGCAAGGGCTTGGTAACTGCAAAGCTCAACACTGTCCTCGCCGCTATCTTCGTGGCCACTTATTTTGTTACTATGGTATTCTGGCTAGCATGCTTTGCTGAACTCGCCAGCCTCCTTGGTGGTGCTACTAGTGCAAGCTCCTACTGCAATACCGTCATTGCCTTTGGCGTGCTACTTTGGTAGGTTCCTCGGATAGTCTCCAGACAATACACACGCAGTACAAAGAGCCGACCTAACGCTCAACTCATATATAGGCTACTATTTGTTGCCCTAGTCATATTCACCAGTCTTGCCATGTGTGGTATTTTGGTGTCTGATTGGGCTGGGTACCAGTCTCTCAGGAAGGAGAAGGGAGTTGGTATGAACCAAACTAGTGCTGACCCTGCTCACGAAGTGCCGATGAGTATGAATCCTGTGGTTCCATAGAAGTTGTGTTGTCGTGATGCTAAAGGCCTTCATGAACAGCCGAACAGTCAATGGCTTAGCCCTTCATCGCCCTCGCCCACAGCGTGGAAGTGAGTACCACACAGGTCCGCATGAAATCAGTCCAGCATAATCACCACAGTTTTGGTTCGGTAGGATTCGCAAGGAATAGTAATGGGTCTCATCGGTAATATGTTATATCTTTTGCGTGTTTTCGACATTCTCATATCACCTACAGTACTAATAATACGTCATGCCATGTTAATATTTGCTTCAATGTGATTATCAAGAGCATTTATGTTCATACAATCCGCATAAAACCGCTGCCGTGCTGTCACGACTAATCAAAGGAGGTATATAGTCCAATCTATCCGTCTGAACAAACTGTGCGTCGCAAGCCGTAAGTGTCCAGTCGCTGTAAAAAGCATAATCGTCAAGCCCGAGAAAAAGGTGAGAAGGTAAAAAGCAAACCCAACATGTATGTCCAGGATATAATGAGCCGGCTATCAAGAAAGACAAGACCAGGTACGAGATGGGACTCAACCAAAAAAGAAAAGAAAAAGGATAATGGTAATGACGAAATCAAAGAGTGGTCTCTTCCACAGGCTCTTTTCCACCGTGGGTCTCCTCATGGTCGTGCTTGAACTTCTTCTTTTTCTTGTCCTTGTCCTTCTCATCCTTGCCCTTTTTGCTCATAGCTTCGGCCATAAGCTGCTCGAAGGCCATGTAATCGCCTTCTTCCTCGGGGTCGCGTGCGGCCTAAAGCTAGCTGTTAGCATGGTACTCAATATGCGGAAAAGAGATGTATATACCTTTGCGTAGATATTGCCGGCAATTACCAGCGCATGCGCACGCTCAATGCGTTTCTCAAGTCGGGTTCGCTTATCGCTTAGAATCTGATCACAAACATCACGCAGGACACTCTGGATCTCAAATTTGCTGCCACGCCACGCCGCTGCGAGGATCTTGCCAGTCACTCTCTTCTCGTATTCAGCCTTCTTCTCGTCAGTCCAGTCTTCACCACCGCGTTCCTCCATCTTAGCCATCTCCTCCATGGTCATCTGCGCATCAATGGCTGTGGAGATGGTGGTCCATGTCTCCTTCGCAAGAGTGCCCTTGTCCTTCAAGCGAGAGAAGAAGCCAGAGATACCTAGGAACTTCTGTGACTTGAGGAAGGAAGTACCCTTCTGAATGTATGTTTGACCAACAGCGTGGAGAATTTCCAAACCGAAAGATTCCATCTTCAAGTTCTCCACCTCAAGTCGGATCTTCTCCTCGAAAGCATGGGACACGTCCTTACCCTTGTCCGTCTCAGTCCAAACGCTTAAACGATCAATCAGCTTATTTGCGAGTGTGTTGACACGATCTTCGCGAGCCTTTCTGCGCTCATCCTCGAAAGCGTTAAGGCGTTCCTGCTGCTCCTTAGACAAACCCTTCTTCTTCTCCTTCTTGCGCAACTCCTTCTCCTCCTGAGACAGACCGGCTGCCTCCATGCGAGCTTCTTCTTCGGATTTGTCCATGAGGGCTTGCTGTCCGAAATTTCGTCGAGGAGTGCTGGTACCAGAGCCCTGGTTGGAGACTGGCTTCTCAGAGGGGCCGGCAGCTGCAGCTGTAGGTGCGGCCCCTGCCGTGGAATCGTGGGTTTCATGAACAGGAACATGAGCGGGATCGCCAGCTGCAGCCTTCACCTCTGCGTCGTGAATGTTCAGTTTCTCTTCAGCAGATTGAGCCAGTTCTTCCTCCTCCATTTCCTGCATCGTGATGTCCATAGTCGCGGTGAGGTCCTTCATAAGGGAGATCTCGCCGATAAGATCAACAAAGGCCTCGCCACCGAAGATCATACTGAAGAATTCGGACGGGTCCTCTGTGCAAGACAAATCAGAAACGGTGTGCTGGACATTAGTATGCATGTGATGGACTTACCGAAACCACCACCAGGCACCGACTCCTCCTTGCCAAACTTGTCATATCGCTTTCGAAGATCTTCGTTGCTCAGAACTTGGTACGCCTCACCGATCTATAGTAGCAAGATATCAGTCCCGTGTAACATGCATCATCCCTAGGCTTGCGCAATCATACCGCCTGGAAGCGTTCGTGTGCGGTTTCATCTCCAGGGTTCTTGTCTGCGATAATGGATTAGAAAGCCTAGCAAGGAAATACAAGGTCACATGCGGCCATACCCGGGTGAGTGACAATAGCCAGCTTCCGGTAGGCCTTTTTGATTTCCAGTTCGGTGGCCGTCGGTGGCACACCTAGGGCGTCGTAGTAAGCAGTATCGGCAACCATCGCAGCGACCGAGCCTAACTTGAGAACAGATTGAATTGAGGGAAAATGAAAGCTCAATAGATTCAAAGATCTGAAGAAAAAAAAAACAGTGGAGGGGTGTTGTTTAGGCAGAACCTCAAGATATTTTTCGGAAGTTGGCGCTGATATCATGTGGGGTTGTATGCATGGTTTGCTCCGGTCACGTGCCGGCTAAACTCTGCATTTAATCTGTTCTGGCCTTTTCCCCTTTTCCTCCCCCCAATCCGCCGTTCCCCCAGGTTCTGTTGTTTTTGTTTGTTTGTTTTTATTAATCCTCGTCTTCAATACCTTTGCTTCCGGATCCTATTCCAATTTGCTTCACTTGGTGAAGATTAGGCTACTTTGCAACAACTCTTGAACATCCGACTTGCGCGCCTCTCCCCCGCCCATCATGGGTCTCATCGGCAATGCTCTCTACTACTCCTTCCACCCCATGCAGCTGAGGTCAATTCTCCAATGGTATGTTTTGGTGTTCGCGAAGCTCATTCCCACATGCGAAGCTAACGATCCACGTCGCATAGGAAAGTCTGGCACAACCCGCCCCATGAGCGTAACGAGAAGAACGAGACCGAGAATCAGAAGATCTGTTTCCAGTTTTTGGACAAAACCAGCCGCAGCTTCAGCGCCGTGATCAAGGAGTTACATCCCGAATTGTTGATCCCTATCTGCATCTTCTACTTGGTCCTCCGTGGACTGGATACCATCGAGGATGACACTTCCATTCCATTGGCCACCAAGGAACCTCTTCTCCGGGACTTTAAGGACATCTTGACGCAAGATGGCTGGACTTTTACTGGGAATCGGCCGGAGGAGAAGGACCGTGAGCTGCTGGTTCAGTTCAACCACGTCGTCACCGAGTTCATGAACATGAAGCCTGAATACCAGGTTATCATCAAGGACATCACTGAGAAGATGGGTAATGGCATGGCTGACTATGCCGTGAAGGCAGAGCATGACGATGCTAGTGTGAAGACTAAGGAGGAGTATGATCTATACTGCTACTACGTCGCTGGATTGGTTGGCGAGGGCCTCACTCGCCTCTTCGTCGAGGCCGGGTTTGGTAACCCGGCTCTGTTGAAGCGACCTAAGTTACATAAGTCAATGGGTCTTTTCCTCCAGAAGACTAATATCATCCGCGATATCCGAGAGGATTTCGATGATAACCGACGTTTCTGGCCTCAGGAAATTTGGTCCAAGCATGTCGACAACTTTGAAGATCTCTTCAAGCCAGAGCACCTTGATGCAGCTCTTAACTGCAGCTCGGAGATGGTCCTGAACGCGTTGGAGCATGCTGAGGAGTGCCTGTTCTACTTGGCCGGTATGCGAGAGCAGAGTGTTTTCAACTTCTGTGCAATCCCGCAGTCCATGGCCATCGCCACAATGGAGTTGTGTTTCCGCAACCCCGATATCTTCCAGCGCAACATTAAAATCACCAAGGGAGACGCATGTGAACTCATGCATAAGTCAACCCAAAACTTGTCGGTTCTGTGCGACACCTTCCGCCAATATACGCGCAAGATTCACAAGAAGAACACCCCCAGGGATCCCAACTTCCTGAAGATCAGCATTGTCTGCGGACAGATTGAGAAGTTCATCGAGACCATCTTCCCGACGCAATCCGCCGAGGCCGCTAACCGTAAGGTCTCTGGTGAGCTCACTGCGGCCGAGCTACAGAAGAAGAAGGAAGACGACGAGAACAAGAGTGATGTCTACTTCATGATGGCTCTCATGGGAGTCATTGTTGTCGTTATCGCTAGTCTCATGATCTTCGCCGCCTGGATGATGGGCGCCCGGTTCGACCTTGCCTTCAAGGAGATCACGTCTGGCCACTTCAGGCCGCCGGCTAAGAACCAGCTTGAACACCCGGAGCTTTGATTGTCTTATATTATTTTCACATCCACGGCGTTACGACCTTTTACTGTCTAATATTTTCGATTCCCCCTTCGGCATATTGTCTTACTATTTTATCGCCTGCCCCCGGCGCCCTCGATGTGTATTGATAATAACATAACTCTTTCTTTTCTTTGCCTCGCGCACACACAGACTAACCCTCCCATTTCTACCCCACCCTTTTTAGCACGGATGTCAAATTGCGATCCGGCCTTTCTATGGCCGAGGTTGTGCCGAAGAAGTGCTTATATCGAAATGGAGATTTATCTCCCTAGCCAGTGAGTACTAGATCTTTGTCCAACGGTTCGCCCGAGGTGGCAAAGATCCATTGAAGATCTGGAATATCCCGTGTATGTAAAGTTGTATGTCTATAGGAAATGAAACCATCAGCCTCTGGAGGTTGACTCTTGTCCTGAACTCAGATAACTGAAAATCGGCGGGACTAGAGAACAGGCCCCGTATCAGAAGTTTCTGCTTTCGTGTATATCTTTTATTTCTCGGCAATAAATTTCTTCCAACTACCGGCCCATTTCTTTTCGCTTTTCTCGCTCATTACTCTTGCCATCTATCCATCGGCCAGGTTGTCTTCCCCAAAGCATCCTCAATCCAATGGGTTCCAAAAGAATGGCTTCTTCTTCTGGGGACTCCGGCGACTCCCCATTGTCCGCGAGTGATTTCCGGACTTACAATCGTATGTCGGAGCAAATGGAAGGATTTGTAAGCTTACTATCACACCTGGACACCTGGGCACATTAGTATACCTTGAGCACTAACTCTCATGCAGCATAGTCATTTCCGTTTGACATGGAACCAGCTTTGGGAGGCCTGTGAAAACTCTAGAAAACGGGGACTTTCAGCCCGCCAGATGATTATGATGGGCCTTCAATTCTGTTCGCAATTGGATTTCCATCACTCCATCGAGGAGCAACACATCTTCCCCGTATTGGCGAAAAAGATGCCTGAGTCTCGAAAGGAGCTCGAGCTATTGAGTCAGCATAGACAGATCCATGCAGGACTCGAGAAACTCGAGAAGTATCTTGAGCAGTGTCGGTCCGGCGAGGAAGATATGCGTCGCGAAGAGGTGAAACGGTTGATGGAAGGGTTTGGCAAGGTTCTGTGGACACACTTGGACCAAGAGGTTCAAACTCTTGGAGCTGCTAATATGCGCAAGTTCTGGTCTCTTGCTGAGATGCGTCAGCTTCCTATGTGATAATAACGAACGGAGGCAAGTTTTGTCAATTTCATTTTCAGAAACATGTTCAGCTTTTTTCTGAAGACTATTCATATCTGTGTGCCCATTTGAATTAATTCGAACTATTCTGGTTTGCTATTTGGTCTTGAAAAAGCACCTATGTTTTGTTTCCGAGGGATCTGCTTCTGCTTCATCAATGTCCATCCCAAGCCAGAGTTGCAGTTTGATAATGGTAACCCCTACACGAAAATCCTTGGCTTGGAGTCGAGTGACCACTGCTAACAATGTGTACTGTTCCCGGAAGCTCCACCACAGCGCACTTGGGAATGTGAACACGTTGTCTCCCTTGCCTGGTATGTATACTAACCGCATCCAGGTAGCATTGCAAGCACGCTCCCCCAACTTCTGCAGTTTCAAAAACTCTTGACACTCGACCCAGTTTGTGTATGTTTCTTTCTTCTGTTGGCGATTATGTCGTGCGAAACAAGCACTCTCAGTTTTACCGATTCATCGGTAGATGTAGCGAGAATGCCAGGGTCATATGGAACCCACAAATACGGAACAGCCGCAAAGCCCCGGAATATCAACACTGCATATAATAAAATATACATTGTTAACCTTCAATGACATGTGCGTCACTTCAAGTTGATCAATCTCGTGGCAGATATCGGGGCCGCCGATCTTCATCTGATCCGTCAGCGCTCGGCTGTCAGATGTTTCTGTCTCCAAGAATGTTCTCTCACAGAAGTGCACAAGCTCGGCTGAGCTGCTCATTTTCTCTAGGTCTCACATCATGACGATAACGGAAAAGAAATCTTGGCTTGGATCATGAACAATCGGCGGGAAACAGAGAAGATCAACACAACTGCAGCAAATGCAGGTCATGAACCTATTAATCGACGTGGCTGAGATCCCCAGAAATAACCTGACCTTTTTCACTCTCCATATCTCCACTCCAGTGGGTCCATAAATGTATCTCATCTTGTGTCTGGGGTCATCAGTACTACGCCACGCGCTCCTTTCCTCATGCGGATTGAGCATGATGTCGTGCCGCATGCAACTTATATGAAATACAGGATATAAGTACCATCGGACCAAGCTCAAGAGATATTAGGTTAGTCAGGTTATAGCTTCGCCCTTGCTATCTATACCGTGTCAAGATCCGCTCAACTCACTCCCGTTTCCACCAACATGAAGTTCACAACCACCACGATCCTGACCACCGCTATACTAGCAGGCAGCTCTCTCGCAGCCCCTCGCAGCGGCCTGGTTGACCGCTTGCAGACCCGTGGCGCTCTGTCACGCCAGTCACTACCTGCCGAAAAGAAGGGTGTATTGCTGAGGGAAGGAACCGAGGGAGTCAATGTTCAATACAGCAAGAACTGGGCTGGGGTGGTGCGCGAGAAGCCACCCGCCAGTGCTACCTACACCGCTGTGTCTGCAACGTTCACCGTCCCCGAGCCAACGGCCACCGATGGCTCTGGGGATATGCAGGCTGTGTCCGCCTGGGTCGGTATTGACGGGGACACTTACACCAAGGCCATTCTACAGACTGGCATTGATGCCTACATCCAGAATGGCAAGAAGACATTTGACGCCTGGTACGAGTGGTATCCATTAAGTGCGGAGAACTTTGACCTTGCATTATCCGCAGGCGACGTTATCGTTGCGAAGGTCGAGACAAATTCGCCCAGCAAGGGTGTCGCTATCATCGAGAATAAGTCGAGCGGCCAGAGTGTTACCAAGACTCTGTCTGCACCTTCAACCTCCGCCACTCTCGCTGGCCAGAATGCCGAATGGATAGTCGAGGACTTCAACACTGGTAACAGCATGATTCCATTGGTCAACTTCGGCAGAATCGACTTTACCGGCGCCCAGGCTGAGGCTGGCGGTACGAAGTATGGTGTCAAAAATACTGCTGTTTTGGATATCCAGCAGAATGGCAACGTGAAGGCCCACGTGGAAGTCCGAAGTGACACTGAGTTCTCTGTTACCTACCAGTGATTTGATATATATATCGGAGTTGATGAGTTTGGCGTTTTGTACAATGGATGATATCCATCATATATCTCTCAATCGAGACAAGGGGGAATTTGCATCAGCAAAGTGCGGTATACTTCTTTCATTCAATTTAGTGAAATCTATCAAAAGAAAACAATGATTGATCATCTCGTCTATTTCTTCCTGCAATAATTGGTAAAATTATCACTGCCCGGATCCTGATGACTCTTTATTATCTTTTCTTTATAAACCGCGTATTCAGACATGTTGGGCCTATAATTAGATGAAGAGTGCGCAGAAGATGTTACGAAGAGGAAAGATAATAGACTTCTTACTAACTATTCAGGAACCTTAGAAATACACATAGCATCACAAAGAAAAGGACGAATTTTGGATGTTGAACAATAAATTCGCTGGGATGACAGAAACGACGACGGGGTATTCTGCTGAATGATAAGAGGAAAGGACAAAAATCAGATCGAAACGCTCAGAAAAGATAAAGGCAAACTGTGAGCCTAGTAAGGGCTCGAGGTGTCGGCAAGAAGGCTGTACGAGTTTAATTGAATACCCAGAGGGCGAGGTTGAGGCATCAAGGCGCCCAGCATCTGCTGGTCATCGTACTCATTGCCTGTTCCATCTGTAAGCGCGAAGAACATGGCAGATGGTCGGTTCACGCGCAAAGCTTCCAGGATGTCGTCACTCCACAGGCCTGTGCACTCGTTATTGACAAGTTCGAAATACGGATTCAGAGGCGGACAGCTTGAGTCGAGGTTGATGAAACGGATGCGCAAATACTCCAGGGCAGGGAGGACAGATAGGCACTCGATTGCCTTGACCACCATTGCCTCGAAATCACGAATGAACGCAATGCTGGTAATTGGACGTGTCCCGTAGCTCATCTGCGTCCAGTGATTCAATCCGTCTACCTTCTGATTGTGACAGCACGTCTTGACTGAAAGATCCAGTGACCTGAGAGGAGAACCAGACTCCATTTCCGTTGCCCCTTCCTTCAATTTCTTGAAGAGGTACCAACATACACGACCAGAGTAGGTAAATGACTCGAAGCGCGGGATTGCCTCGCCAAGCAGAGTACAGATCGGAGCAGGCGCGCTTTGAGAGCGGAAAAGCGCAGACAGCAACCTATTACTGGCGTTGGAAAATTCCTCCAGGCCAAGATTGATGTGTCGGATGGTAGGTGGAGTATGGATAAAGATGCTCATCATGATCAAGTAGGCACACAGACGGGGTTGGACCCAATCACAATGCCATTCACTCAAAGCTGGCAACGCTTGTGAAATGTTGCCCCAGTCGTCAACTTGTCGCATCAGGTTCCAGGCACCACGCATGATGAGTGTCTGTATTTGTCCAAGAACAGGTAGATTCCGACCGTTCATGGCTTCCCTATAGCGGGAATGCCGCACCATAGGCGCATTCTTGCAGTGGCCACCCTCCAGGGTGAGAACCCGGGCAGTAGGGAAAAGGTACTGAATAAGCCAGAAGATTTCCTCCAGCGAAGTGTTACCGGTTGCACGGTGATAACGAAAAATAACATCTCCGTGGTTATGATCATGATTCGTCTGCATATCTACAACATGTTCTGTTGCATGGGTGCCATTTTGCTCTGCATTTGAGCGAGCATACTTAGGGCGAACAACCCGATCTCCCCAGATAGGCATCCAAATCTCAATGTGACAGACATATGGAGTCAAATGGGGGTTTCGCTTGAACCACCATACACACTTGATCAATTCGCGGTTGGTGCCTTTGATTTTGACTAGATAAAGGCTAGTCATTAGTACAATTCCGTTGAACTTCAGATTGACAGTCAGATAAAACTCACTATGGCGGTAGATTCGACTTTGAACAAGTCCGGTCCACATCCGGCAAGTCAGGGCCAGGTCGGAAAGGGCCTTTCGCCGCGGATGGTGGAGAGCCTTACTCCAGTTCTGAGCAGAAGATTGACCATGTGCTGAATGGTTACTAAGGGAGGCTCTTTTGCCAAAGATTTGATCCAGAATAACCTCATGGATCTCAACTGGGAGCTCTGTGAATTGGATTGCCGACTGTCCTGCCGGGGGATGAGATTGGTCCTCACTGGCGGCGATATGGGAGGTAAGGGTTTGGTAATCATCCTGACCAATAATATTTGCACTGATGCTGCAGTTTGGTTTCTCTGCGCTTTCAGGAACTGCAACAGGTGCACTGGCTAGGGAATTGACCGACCCCGGCCGGAGAGAAATTGCGGAGATCATGAGGGGGGTAGGGATGAGGATGAAAGAGGATTGGAAGAGTCAGAGGCCATTGATGCGACCTAGTCTTCTTCAGATCAGAGGCAGCAGCCTGGTAGCTGCAATTTGGTATGTGTTAGTGAACAAACGAGTCATGCCGGGGATATGCATATAGATCGTACTCACCTCACAGCTGTGGTTAACCGCTATCAAAGCCGCACCGGCTCAATGTTCAGTTTAGGCACAGACGGGTTATCTCAGAGGATCCCATCCACAAATGAAAAAAATAAACGTCAGAAAGAGAGGGGGTCGCTGGCCGATCAGGCTGTTGGGCAGCTTGATGAGGAGGATTGGAAGGGGATTGGCGGGGAAGAGATAGGCCCGGCTGAAAGTGAAGAGACGTGAAGATGAAGGAAGACCGAGAACACAGTGAAGGAGAAAAGAAAAGCAAAATACATAGTCAGAGGAAGAAAGTGACGGGGGAGTCAGAATAAACGCGGGAGACGTTGCGCGACACGGACTTCTACGGTTGGAAGGAATACTTGATATCGGGGCTTTCGAGAACCAAGACAAGGGTTGTGATCAATAAAATAACACGAACATAATCAGAATAGATCGAAGCCTGCATTATACATGTTGTTATTGGGCTACAACTATCATGTCGTAGATGGTGTACATGGGCTGTGATAGTTCCCTTGGCCCTATAGATGCCGTCGTTTTTGCAATAAGAAACATGACAGGAATAATAGCCATTGCGATTCGAATCGGACATTATTTTCTTGCAGACATTCATAACACAGATCAGCAAATGAATGCGAGGGTATCGATGCAGAGTAGACGCTACAAAACCATTGCAAAGCGAGAAAGAAAAAAAGATGGAAGCTAGCGCTTACGCCTGAAACGGAAACGAAGTTCATCATCGCTGTCCGAATCGCGCTCCTCGCGAGCCCTCTTCGGGGGCCGAGCCGGAGTTGGGTCCGAGGTCGGTTGAGGCGAGGTGCGTGTAATCGCTGACAGCTCGGACCGTGATGGAGCAACTTCATCGTGATGATCAGATTCAGGACCTCCAGCCTCGTTCTGAGGGTCAGTCTCGGCAGGATTGCCACCCCAATAGTGATCGCCGATTCCATAGTCTTTGCGGGTCACTTCTTCTAAGGAGACGATCACCGTCTGGATGCGAGCTCGACTACGCGGCTCGCCTTTTCGCCGGAACTTCTTGAAATTCTTGCGCCCATTCCATTGATCATCCCATCTGTCCGAGCTGTCATGCTCGTGCGCTGGTGCGTTCCGGACGGGAATCTCCATTTCTTCCACAATAGCCAGGTTCTTCAATTTGTCCACATCCACATCACCTACGTCGGCTGAATGTGAGTCTTCTTTGGCCTTGCGTTGTTGTTCTTCTTCTTCACGGTGCTTTCGCGCGGCTTCGAGCACGTCAAGTTTAGGTCGCTTGCGTTTCGGGGCCTCCGATTCGGGGGCTACGGCCTCATCCTCTGGATGATGGCGAGTCATATCTGCACGACGACGCTTCATTGCACGGGCGCCCGGGAGAAGATCAGCCACCATATCCTCCTCAGCGTCTTCCTTTACTATATTCAGGGGCTGGATTTCTTGAGATGGCGCTTGAGTTTCGATATCGATGGTTTGAGTGGAGTTGATATTGGTGTCCTCTTCTTCAGGTGCATACACTGGGACAGATTCCATGTCGAATCCGTCATCGAAGGTTTTCATTTTACTGACGTATGCACGCACACGGGTCTTGGCCGGAGCTTTCGAGGGCTGACTAGGCTCAGAGTTAGGCGGATCTACCGATTCAGATACGGCAGAAACTGCTTGTTGGCTTGTTTGTTCAGCCTCGACCGCGGGTATAGATGCGGTGATCTGACTAGAGCTCTCCTCCGTGGGCAAGGTACGGCAGAGGGGTGATGCATCATTTCCAAGGATAGCGTCAAGGAACTCTCGTTGCTCTATCACGCGCTGGTCCGTCATTAGAGCAACCTCATTACCGACGTCAATAGACCATTGTTCGAGGTCTCCTTTCGATCGAAAGCGAACAAGAACGACGCCACCGGAACCGTGTCGCTCGGGGCCCACGCCTTTCTGTCCTGCTGCCTTTTTCATGAACCGAACGATATCTGCGGCAGTTGTGACCCCATCTTCAGTTTCGTAGAGAAGCGCCTTCCCTTGGCCATTGTTGATTGGACCTTGTAGGTTTTCAAACTGGCTTGGATCACCGAAGATAAACGTATATCCCTCGAAGACATTAATACGTGCGGGATTGGGAGCGAAAGCAGCGGCGGGACGCTGGGTTGGTTCTTTCCCGGGGGGCGGAAGGTGTTGATTTGGATCGGGCCATGCTAATTCGAAGTCGGTTTCAAGAGGACATAGCGACTCAACGTTCTCAAGATCACCGGGGGTAGCCGCGTAGACGAGTGCATCGATATATGAATCATCTACTATGTACTTCCCGTTGACGAGTGCCTGAAGACCCTTAGCTGTATTCCGTTTGCGCTGTACCACATGCGTTGTGTGATCGACAATATAATCCATGATGGTCTTAATGTCGAGGTCTTCTAGACGTGAGCGAACATGGGCTAGAGGATCTTCACCTCGCACCTGCTTGGAGGAGGATGACAAGGTTAGAACCACGGGCTCCCATTTGATCCTATCAAGATCATCAGCCGGGATTCAAGCCAATCGTAAGAAGACATACGCACCGGAGCGCATGCTGGTATTTAGCGAGCTGGATGAGATGCTCATCGCTCTTCTCCAACTTGCATTCTCCTTGGATTCTCCTCTCGTCAACGACTGTTCCTTTCTTCGAGTCTAAATCGGTTATGGTGATATTGGATCGCGCTCGTAGTGACAACTGGAGGGGTATTAGCCAGATAATGCATATCGTCGCGGGGAGTTCAACCGTACCCCATCTCGCGGACTGACCGGTGAGATTTCAATGGTCATATGCTTGCGGGATATCGAATTATGATTGACAGCATGGCGGACTATTCAATAAGAGATCAGCCGAACTGTGTGATCCTCCAACTGAAGTAGGCCATACCTCCGTCTCGATGGAATCGACCGAATAGATACTTCTTTCCAGGGCGCAGCCACACGCGCTTCCCTATGAGGCTTTAGCAACCAATCGATCCTTGTCAATCAAATATGCCCACCTTCCAGAAAATCACCGGTCGAATCAAGAATCCACATGACGACGAATCCGCCCAGAGAGATGTTTAGCGTTAGGCAACATGGCTGAGGCTCACGCAAATTGGAACGCGTGTCCACGTGACTCCGCGTCAAATTGAATTCCGCGCTCTCGCCTTCTCATGATCATCTACCAGCCATCGATGGGACGGTGGAAAGTATGGAGTCTTCAGGTGAGAACCCCGCCAGTGATCCGAAGCCTGAGTCGGCCCCTGATGAGGATTTTGGGACCCTGAAATATCAGCTACTCGGTCCCTCTTTAACTAAAGCGGGCCAAGATTCCGTCGATCAGCAAAAGGTGCGCTTGATGATTGTATTCATTTTGAGCTTTAGCTAAACTCGCGTTTCCAGGTATCAGAGATTATATACAATGCCTCCAAGGGCTCTAAGTTCTTTAAGCACGAACAGGATCGGGATCGGAATCTCACGTTGAAAATCGAGCGAATTCTAAAAGCAAAGGCACGGCTAGAACGTCTAGACTTGAGCAGTGAGCTACGACGTGCCGATGAATACCTCGCGGAGCTTGAATCGAGCCGTGAGCTTTCTCAATATGTCATTCACGTGGATTGTGACGCGTTCTTTGCCGCCGTCGAGGAGCTTGACCGACCCGAATTCAAGACAGTGCCTATGGCGGTCGGTAAAGGAGTGCTGACAACCTGTAATTATCTGGCGAGGAAGTTTGGCGTCAGAAGTGGTATGGCCTCATTTGTCGCGAAAAAGCTCTGCCCGCAGCTGGTTCTTTTGCCGCCGAACTACGACAAATATACCGCAAAGGCCAAGGAAATCCGAGCTATCATGGCCGAGTATGACCCTCTCTTCGAGAGTGCGAGTATAGACGAAGCCTATTTGAATATCACAGCATACTGCGACGAAAATCACTTGGAGCCTGATGAGGTTGTTCAACGGATGCGCGCAGAGATATTGGAAACAACCAAGGTGTCTGTTTCCGCCGGAATTGCTGCTAATGCGAAGATTGCAAAGATTGCCTCCAACCTCAACAAGCCCAATGGACAATTTCAAGTCCCCAATGAACGGGAGGCAATCATGAAATTCATGCGTGACCTGTCGGTCCGCAAAGTGAATGGAATTGGCCGAGTATTTGAGCGAGAGCTGGAATCAATAGGCGTCAAAAAGTGTGGTGATATCTACCCACATCGTGCTTTATTGACCAAGCTATTTGGGGAGAAGGCTTTCCAATTCCTGGCTCAGTGCTACCTCGGTCTTGGGCGGACCAAAATTGAACCTGTCGAGACCCACGAACGTAAAAGCGTCAGTACAGAGACCACTTTCCATGAAATTGGAGACAAGGAGGAACTTCGAGCGAAGCTCTGGTGGGCTGCGCAGGAGCTTGAAAAGGATATGGCCCGGACTCATTTCAAAGGCCGCACGCTTGCCCTGAAAGTCAAACTGCATACTTTCGAAGTGCTGACGCGCCAGACAGCTCCATCTCGTGCCGTCTTCCTGGCAAAAGATTTGTACTCCTTTGCTTTGCCCATGCTCGCCAAGCTTGAGAAGGATATCCCGAACATAAAGCTACGGCTTCTCGGCCTTCGCTGCTCGAATCTGGTCAGCACTCAGAAAGTTGGAATTAATTTTTTCGGCGTAGCAACACAACCAAAACCCGCCACCGAGCCAACTTCTGAGCCCGCCCCTATATCGACATCGGATGTCAATGTATATCATGAGATTTGTGCCGAGGAGGCTTTCGAGGCGGCGGCTCGCCAGGAAATCCAGGACGAGATGAATGATCTAGAGCAGCTGAGTCAAGAAACACCCGATGTTCATGAGCCAGAGGCCTCTGCAGCCCCGCCGGTGGTTGAAACACCCGCGATGTGGGATTGTCCTATATGTACACGACCGCAGATTGCGGATGATCGCGCATTCAACGAGCATGTGGACTTCTGCCTCTCTAGACAGACAATCCGCGAAGTCGTGCAGGACACATCAGAAGAAACATCCTTGATACCCCCCAATTCCAGAAAAAGGAAGTTGCCATCACAGGCTGGTATTCCCGAAATGGATCCAAAACAGAAGCGGCTTTTTTTCCAATGACGGCGAAACTTGGATGCCGCTCATCCCGACAGAAAAGCACCGATACTCAGGCTCGGAATCCAGCAATCATTTAATATTGCAGGGTCACCGTTTTTCAAGGCTCCACTTGACAGCCGCCAGATTCGGGATAGATGTGGGACGTCTAGGGGCGAGACGGATACAGGGGGTTCTTTTTTCTATGGGTGTGTTGGCAATGACCTGCCAATCAAGGGCCTTGTAGAACCCATTCTCACAAAACAATAGAGGTCTCACAATTTCCTCATCGCAATGTCAATAGTTCGACGCCCTTGTTCATTGAAGTAAGGAATTCCACGTTGCGGTGAAGCGGCGCCCTAAACCCAATCAGGTGACATTGTTTTCGTCAGTCGACTTTCTCCTCGACTTTCTCGACTTTCCCATCCATCAGGCCACAAATTCCCTGTTACGGAACAAGAAGACAGGCGATTCTTTTTATTGGCCGGTGCCACAATGCTCATGTCCTGTGGCACCTCGCAATGCCATGACTTGCACCCCCCGCAACTATGACCTACGATAAACAAAACAATGGCAGTCTCGCCAAACCGTTCACACCCACCCTCAGCGCTGCATTCCATAGGAGTAACAGGGCTCCTTTGACACCAAAACTTGCAAGTCCAAGTCCCGGTCCAGGATTCCCACGTCGCCTCGCACAACCCGACCACCCCTATTCCAAAGACGACTCCCCCGCGGTCCCGACCTTTCTGAGCGCCAACGTCACTCCACGATCCGGTCCTCGAACCACCCGGCGAGATGGCGCTATCTACTCCCCCACAAATACTTCACCTGCCCCTTCTCCCTCTCCAAATCCACCTTACTCCCAGTCAACAATTGGTTATGGTCGTCGAGACCGCAGCCCGGCCCGCGGGGTCAAGCCGGAACAATCTCGAACTCTGAGGTCGAAGACATTGACCGCAGACAACCAGCCTAGATCACGATTGAATTCTTTCTCGGATACGACATCCGGGACTCCCCTGTTCTTCCATGCGTCCGACGCACGATCATCACATCCTTCTGAGCCATCAGATGCCCCTCGCCCGAGGCCCCAGGGGAAGACATCCCCAGCCTCGAGCTTCATATATGCGAACGGAGACCAAGAGCGAAAATCACTAGGGGAGCAATCGAATGTTACATCCGCTTCTGCCAAACGGCGATCGGGTGGTCTTCCCCGTCCCCTGTCCGCCAGCAAACCACCACCTTCCTCCTCGCGCTTGAGCTCTCCTGGTCTTCCAGATGTAGCTTCACACCCTCCAGAAGATATCAGATTACCATATGTCACCAGCATTGAGAGTGGACTAGGAATTAGCCCGCGTCTTGGCTCGCCGTCGTCGAGTACAATCGGCGAGAGACCGCGACCGCATCCGATCCGACATACCAAGTCCTCAAGCGTCGACTCAGGCCGCCATGGCAATTATCCACAAGACAGCTTGCGGGCAAGCCCAGTCATCGTATCCGGGAGCCATTTTGGTGAGGAACCAGCGCCTGTGATGTCGGAGCAGATACCCGCCCTTCGCCCTCGCATCTTCAGCAATGTATCCACCACCTCAACAGATACATACCCTCCTGTACCACTTAGTCCCGGGAAATCCGAGGGTCCGAGTGAGGCAGCTCTTAATGCGCGTATCGAGCGCAAGATCATGGACTTGGAAATTAGCAACTCTTCACTACTAGCCATCAATCGTACCCTGGAGCGCGAAATGCGACAACAGAAGGCGGAGCTTCGGCGGTTCCGACGACTGAGTCGCTCCGGACGCATATCAATGGCACCTTCCACCCGTTCATTCTCCGGAGCGGCACTCTCAGTTACTAGTGAGCTAAACGAGGGCGCAAGTGAGATTTCGAACCTGTCACAAGACGATATGTCCGACATCAGCGATGAGGATTCAATTGTGGATGAGAGCATCCTGAGTCCGGGCTCGCTGGCCGAGCATAATGCCAAGAACCGTGTCAATGATGAGAAACGCGTCATGCTTGACTTGGCGCGACATCAGGAGGTGCTGGTGGACAGCCAGAAGATGAACCAAAGTCTCAAGCGCTGTCTAGGATGGACCGAAGAACTTATCAAAGAAGGACAGCGGGCCCTGGAGTACAATGTTCACGTTCAAGACGTTGAGCTGGGTGGCCGAGTCCTAGCGCCTGAAGAGTTGGGCGAAATTGGTGAGAGCGGCCGTGGTCTTTTGAGCCCTTCAGTCCAATATAACGCCTCTTTTTCTCCTATGGAGGCCTCCGAACTATCATTTACTGAATCACTATATATGGGAACACTATCTCCTACGCCCTCTATTTCTGATCCGAGCACCTGATCCCATTTTTCCTGATCCCATTTTTGGCCCTTGTCTCCCGGCGGGACGATTCAATTCTTTTCTTTCTTCCTCATACATTTGCACAATACCCTTTCTTTTTTGATGCGTTTCATTCTGAATTCGTCTTTTCTTCGATCGAGACAGATATTATCTCACTGTTTTGGGCTTAGCGACTTGTACTATGAGACTCTGGACTTACCTTTCTTCCCTTGCGTTCACGATTTCCATCAGACAGGATGGTCAATGATAGACCTCTATACCCGATCATTTCATCCATCGCGAACACATTTTCTTGGCTATTTCGAAAGATACCCGATGTGCAATTATTGTCTTGTGTTTATGTTCTGTCCCCATGTGCACTAATTGATCTGCACGCTTGAAAATGCTAGACTTCTGACCATGTTCGCGCAATGCTGTGTTCTTCAATATCTCATATCTTGATTTTCTAGAAAAGAACGACCAGTCACTGTGGTTACTCTCACAGTCTGCAACTTTGAAAATATCATTATATCATGGTCAACATCATCAACAGTCTCATATCATGGAAATGGACACTGTCCCATCCGCTGCCGACGAAGAGTCTCCTTGAAACCCTCCAATTCCTTGTACCCCTTGCCCTCAAAATACTTCGGTCCCAGATCATCGGTGCGATAGCCCTGTGGGTAATATTTGTCTCCGTCATCACCAGGCAAAGGATGTCCGAGTGCCCATTTAAACCATGCCATCGGCCCCCAGCGGTTCCAGATTGTGGGCTGCACATAGAATGGAGCTCCGTCGTATATCAACACCCAGTTGCGGCCGTGCTTATCCGGTTTGTCGGTGAACACGTTCAAGCGCAAGAAGTCTGGGCGTGGCAGTGATAGGTATCGCAGGTATAGTTAGCGGAGTTTGAATATCAAGGCAAGTATGCCGCTGAAAAATGCAGGTGGTTCTTCCATCCTAGAAAATGTACACATTAGACTCGCTATATGTGGTGGTGAGTTGGGATACATACATCATCGCGGTTCGCAATCGATCTCCCATCAGATATGACACGAAGTATCTAGCCAACGGCTTCAAGAAATTTGGCAAATTATATACCAGCACGTCAATCGTCTTTTCCGCAAGCTCCTTGTTGCGAGGGTGAGGCTTCATGTGCTGGATTTCGTATTGCTGGCTCCATGCACCAATCTCCCCCAGCCAGTGAATCCCATCTTGGAAGCCAGTCTTTCCAGAGGGCAAAGCATCATAATTGATTTCCAACGCATCACCGAGACTCTTCCAGAATGTCCCGACAGCACATCGTTCCATTTCAGTCATCTCGCGCCACTCGAATTGTTTCACAAACCGGATTGGCTCAAGAGCGAATAAGCTTAGTGTGTATAACATGTCAGCTTCCATGATCTTGCCGCTAGCTCTGTAGCCCTTGTGCAGAAATTTGGTTCGGGCTATTGCTGTCCGCGCTCGCTCGGAGCGTGGGTCGAAAGCCATGAATTCGCCGATCAGTGTGCCTGTGTCGGCATATCTCTTGAATGATATTGTAGAGTCTGATAACTGTGATGTCTTCAGGAGCAGTGTGGATATTGTCGGAACGCCATATGTCTGTCCACGTCAACTTCCAGTCATATACATACTTGGATGGGCTTTGCATACGCGGAAGAGGGCAAACTGCAGTGACTTAAGCACAATAAAGGGAAACTCGGTCTGCATGATTGTCTTTTGAATAGCCCAGGCATCCTGATCGGACATGCTGCGCATGGATTGCCTCGTTCCGTAGCAGCTATATTTACTGTGGAGTGTCTGCCGTCGTTGGAAACGGAGTGAAGATATCAGCGCTAGGTATGTTGCTAGCCCCAGCAACACACATAGTGTCTGCTTGACAATGAAGCTTGTAGCAAGGAGCTAGATAGAGGGGCATCCTCGGTACTGGACGTAGGTAGTGATGCCATTTATAGCAAGGCGATGGAAATAACTGTAGATATAGATTTAGGTCTTGAGATGGAAATAATGTCTATTAAGATCAATTCATTGCACTCGGTCTTATATAGATTCCATCCTCTATGAACATATAACCTTGATGAGGATTAATCGTGAAGTATATTGCTGATCTCATGTTAAAACGACCGGACCGAGGAATATAGGCTGCGGGGAAATCTCACATCTCAAATGCATAAATTTTTGTATGTGTGTGTACATCATGGGATATTGTGCTAAATAGAAATACCTATGAGCTGTATACATGTACAAGAGAGTCGTGTGGTTTCAATAGTTTCAATATACCGAGGTTTGCAATCAAACCCGAATCATTCGACCATCCACGCCCTCTGTGCCAGTCCAATCAAATCTTCATGAATCAGCCTGATCGACAACATACTCGGTATCTCAGTCGGATGGATTAGATCCAGCATCGTACGATATATACATCCCTTGTCTCCCCTCTTTTCTCACCTTGTACTTTGTACTCGTGCTTTTTTTACTGAGGGGCTGCCAATTTCTCCGCCTCGAAACACAAAGCGTCCTTGGTTGCCCACTTCCTTGGAACCTGCTTGTCTTTAAGAGGGTATGATCTTCTTCTTTAGTTAATCGGGGAATGCGAGAAATCACAGGACCCTGTTCTTGAGCTTTCAGCGGTCTTGGCTTCGTTCTCTCATCCATATCGTCTGACATGCCTAATAGCTTGCTTATATGTATTGTATGTAGTTTAATGTCGTCTTGATCAGGTCCGTAACTATGTACAAATCGCTATAAATACATGCAGTCTCCCTCTCATTTTAGTGCTATTGTAATCTCGCCAGCACCGTCTCCTCCATCCCGAACGATGATACCTAGGATCCAGACGTTCACGGCAAAGAAGAAGAGCCCTGCGAGAAACAGCCCAGGTACGAAGGATGATAGTCCCAGGAATTCGAGGTTGTAACCTTGGTGCAGCCAGAGGGCCTATATAGTTGGTCAGAGTTGAAGCCCTGAAGATTGTGGTATCAGAGAATCAGTAGACAATACATACCTGTCCGGCAATCCATAGTATGGCTGCTGGTATGCCCAGAGCCGGTTTACGGATGAGCGAGGAAGAGGGTAGGTAAAATGGAAGCAGGATGAGGTACCAGAGGAAATACTAAACAGATTAGCTGCGAGTATGACCATTTTCGGATCGAGTCACATACCTGACTGGTACAAACTTTGTTGAAAGTGACAAAAGTAAAAGTCTGCGCAAGCATCGTAGTAGTCAAGCTCTTCTTTGCCAGGACCAGAGGCAAAGCAATAACCACAAGGATTAGCTGCGGAAGGAAGGCCAGTGCCTCAAAGCGAGTTTCGGCCCCACCCGCAGCAGAAAGATAGAGCAGTGTACTATAGGGAGAGAAATTGTGGCGGTGATCGATGCGAGTAAGATGGTGGAAGAAAGTGTGATGGAGGAACGGTTGACCGTACTGGAGGTACATGACGAGATTCAATGCCACGAAACTGGCCAGTGCTGCAACTGTAAACTTCACCCGGGACGGAGTAATGAACCCCAAAGCCTTTGACAGCAGACCCGAGCCAGTCGTTACAGACCCATCGCGCTCAGCATCCCACCACCAGAGAATGGAGACACCATAGATGAACGGATAAATTTTGAAATGCACAGCAAGACCCAGGATAAGCCCAGCAAGGATAGGCTTCTTCGTCAAAGTTGCCCAGAGGAGCGCCGCAACAAGCACGCCGAGCAGTCCCTCCGAACTACCACGGGTACTGATATTGGCAACCATGGGATTCCACAGCCAAACAGCCGAAACGTACCGCAGCGCGCGCTCGACGGGAAATTGATAGCATCGGACAAGCAGCTGGACAACGAGCCATCCAGCAAGGACGTCAGACAATGCAAAAAGCGCCTTTCCAAGGGCGAAAGTCAGTGTTGACCAAGGCGCGGCACCTTCCCACGCAGTAGGGAGAAGCATCCATGCCAAGAGCGGCGTGTAGCGGTAAGTATCCCGAGTGTATGGCGACTCGCCCTTTGAAACATAGCGCGCAGCATCAGTGAACACCATGTAATCGATGTCGGTGTATTTCACGGCGGAGTGCGCATCCTGCCAGCCTCCATAGACGAGGAAAATGAGGCGGAGGGCTGTTGCGGCGAGAAAGACTCGCGCTGGAGAGTCGAAGAGAGCCATTCCCTTACTTGCAAAAAAAAAAGACTCTCTTTTTCGTCCTTTGATAACAACCAAATCAAGAAATTAAAGGTTGCTAGGTTGTCTGTTGCGGCTAGCTCGCATAATTGGGCGGCTTGATGAACCCCTGGCGGATGTCGTCGGGGAGAGTAAGGAGCTGCACATCCAACTAATCTTTTTGGATCTTAAAATCTGTAGTGACTGTGGGCGTGAATTAATTCGCTTTCCATTCCATACAATTCCGCTTGGTAAATTGGATGTTTACGTGGAAGATGATTGTTGATGCCACCTCGAGGCTGATATCCGCTGACTCAGCATGGTCCGTGTCCACGGGTCCGAGATTGCCTAATCGGGACGAGAAGTATACCTCCAGGGCTAGGTATTGCACCCTTAACACGGGAGGGCTGCTATGGACTGGCTATTCACTGTTTATGCCTTACTTAGGCTTGGGGTTTGAGTATAGTCTATCTCTTGTTGGTGTCTCTCACAGCTGTACACTGCCTCGAATTCCTGGGGCTATCATCCTTCGTGCCTGGGCTGTTTCTCGCAGGGCTCTTCATAGAATGAACTGCCCAAACCAAGGTCTTTACCCAACAAGAACAAGAAATTCCCACTGATCTATGTTGGAACTGCAAGATGTGGGGGAAACGTTTATACCCATGTCTATGTCTTCACGTTCAAACTATGTATCAGGCACCGGCTAAATGCCTCGAATTTGACGCTTCTCAAACGTGACTACAGTGAATCTCAATAGAAGCTTAGGTTGGTGATCCTTCGAACTCATTTGTCGCGAGAATGATATCTCCGGATGTATGAGGGTCAATAATGCTGCGATCGAAGGTTCTGCTTGAATACAAGCAGATCACAATAAACCTCATTTAGACTATGTGAGCTGGCCATGAACCACACAGCCACCTCAAAGCACCCAAAACGAGACCATTGACAAAAAGCATGTGCAGCGTAAGCGATAAGTAATCTCTGCCAAGTGAGACCCATTGTTACAGCTCGGACCTGTACAACATCACTCAAACCCCTTCTGTAAGAAGCCATCGTCCAATTTTAGAATTCGGCCGGCCAAATTGGGACAATTAGATCTGATAGGTTAGATGCCGTCAGATGATGTGGTCTACTTCTATACTAAAAAGAAATAAGACAGGCTAGTTATAAATCTCATTTAAACCTGGCTATAGTCTTAACATAGATCATTCAATTCATTAGCCAGACATGTACCGCAGATATATCCATACTATCTATGTATCTTATATACCAGCACAAGAAGATGGTGACCCCCTGCAGAGGAAACGAAGCTATATTACAAACTTCATTGTCCGCGGTATCTTTTCATAGACATTTGACAACTTCATCGGAGCTTGGTGATTATAGAGATACATTTCCTTGTTTATTCTTCTCTCCGTTGAAGAGACTTCATCATGGTCCTGGGCATGGGAAAGTATATCAATCGAGGGCTTCTCAACCCAAAGTCCGATGAGTCTGCAAAGGTCGAGAATGCTGGGTCGCCAGTGAGCTCGACCTCAAAAAAGAATAAATTTCGCCGCCATTGCAGGCGATTCTGGTGCTTCTACCTCATCGCCAATGTGATAGTCTTGGCGATTTTCCTACCGGTTTTGTAAGTCACAGTTTTTACGTGTTCTCCTGTTTGTGATCAAACTAACATTGCCAAACAAGCTTTCTGGTCGCGATTCCTGCAATCGCGCAACTAGTTGTCAACAAATCAGATCTACGACTCGTCAATGCCGAAGTGATGCACCCAACGGCAGATACAGTACGAATGACACTAGAGGCCAAGGTGAATCTGAAGCTTGCACTAGGCGTTCGGCTCGATCCCGTTGTCTTCTACGCATTTGTGCGCTCCGTGGGCCACGAGAATGCATATGCAGGAATTGAGATCCCCGGACAAACTATCAAGGGAAATTATTCACTTAAAGTCACCGACCAGTTGACGCCAATCCTCAATATGACTTCCTGGGAAACTTTTGTGAGTCAAGCTGTCTCCCAAAAGGAAACAGCATTATCACTCTATGGAGTGACTGTTGGATATCTCGGGGTCCTGAAAAACCACATCATATTGGATAAAGATGTGGTAATGCCAAGTGAGTCGTTCGTTAGAGTGGCATTCCACGGTTTGCTAATCTCCGAGATAGCTTTAAACAAGTTTGAAGGCTTCTCCATCGCGAACAGTACATTCCTCTTACCGGCAGAGGACGACGGATCCAATCTCGTTGCCAATATTACACTTCCAAACCCCTCCGTCCTCAGCTTCGAAGTTGGCACCATCACACTTGACCTCAAAAGCGGCAATACAGACCTAGTCATCGGCAACGCAACGGTCAAAGACGTCACACTTAGACCTGGAAACAACACATTCCCGTTGAGAGGTGTGATCGACATTAGTGCGATGATCGGCAACCTCAGCGAAGTTCTTAGCTCACAGGGCCCCGCCATCAGGACAGGCGCACTGAGCCTGACAGCTGTGACTAGATCTATTGTATCTAACGGCACTCTAATCCCGTACTATACAAAGGTCCTCGGGTCACTTCCCCTCGTGGCAAACGTGAGCATTGGCGACGTTCTCAGAAACTCGCTCGC